TTTTTGAACACATATAATGCCCTTTGTTTAAATGGGAACATTTAACCACTGATCAGTCCTTTCTCAAATATTCTCCAAATAGCCCTCTAATTATCAAGATAAATTTAAGAAGTTTTGAAGTCTATGCATGGTGGAATAGGCTTGCAATCCCAGCACTCAGGGGACTAAGGCAAGGGGATTGCAAATTCAAAGCTATCCTGGGACACATAGCATGTCCTGACTCAAGTTAATAATCTCAAATCCTTCATGTTTAACTGGAACTATTCCAGTGTCAGGTAAACCACGTTAAGGAAAAAAAATCTGACAGAATTATTCCCAGTTGGTAATAGTTTAAGCTTGGTGGGAGGCTGAGAGGTTGGTGATGGGGTTCAGAGAGTCTTCCCAGTGGGGACCACCCAAATGGTATTTGGGGTATTGGAAGGACAAGTGGCTTCAATCACGGAAGCCCAGGGTGGATGTCCCTGATAAGGACAGACAAGAACCTCCTTGCTGTCTCGTCATCTCGGCTCTCTGCACCTGGTTATACACACATAGACTCTGGATTGGGAGGGATCTGAAGGCAATGGAAGCAGGGCAAGCTGTAGTTTCTCAGTCTTCTGATCCTCTGACCTGAGCATCAAAGGGGGAATAAAAGAAGAGAAGCAGGCAAAGTCTCTTAGTGTTTGCTGGGACGGGCTGGAGACTCTTGGCTCCCCAGAAGTGTTCGGTTTTTAAAGCTGTTTTTTCCCTCTGCTGGATGGCAGAGGGAGAGGTGAATGAAGACACCCAGAAGTGGAGAACTGCAGGCTTGCTCTCTTGACTCTTTCAGAAGCAAATGAAGTGCTGTGCTTCACACCATGGCTGGCCTGACTCCCCACCTGCCCTGCTCTCTCTGGCCACTTCCTTTCTCTTAAAGCTTTCTTCATTGAATAAGACATACTGTTCCAACTTTTAAAGCAAGATTTCTTAATTTATTTGATAATTTTGTGTATGCCTATGTTATGAGCACCACATACATATAGGAGAGTGCCAGAAGGGAGCTGTGCATCATGGGAAACTGTAGTAGCTTTCATTTGTATTTTAATAAATAAGTTTGCCTGAAGATCAGAGAGTAAAACAGCCACACTGATCAGCCTTAAAGACCAGGCAGACCAGACACACACCTTCAATTCCAGTAGTTTGTCATAGAAACTGGGAGGCAGGGGTGCATGCTTTTAATCCCAGCCTTAGAGGGGAATATAAAATGGGAGGAGACAGCTCTCACTCAGTCTCATTCTGAGATTCCTGGAGGCAGGATGGTGTTCTCTGACCTTCAGGTTGAACCCCAGTTTCTGTCTCTGGGTTCAGCATTAATCATGCTACATGGAACTGGAGATGGGGGTGGTTGTAAACTGCCCTGTGGGGAACCCAGGTCTACTCTACTGTAAGAGTGCTGAGCATCATTAACCACTGAGCCATTTCTCCAGCTCCCTAGCCTTTTTTATTTTTAAGTATGCAACCTTTAATCCCATGCTTAATGAGAATAGGAACTTGGTTCATACTTTGTACAGAGACTAATGTCTGAAATGTGTTCTAGCGGAGAAATAACAAAAATAAACCTCCTCTTAGATTAAACAACAGCAAATGAAAAAACCACCACCACAACAACCAAAAAGAAACCAAACCAAAACAGCAACAACAACAAAAAAATCAAACTGAAAGAAAAAACCCCAAATTGAAGGTTTCACCTAACTTTCCACTATTGGGAAGTATGAAACTTTGTGTTATAAAGGACTATTTAAACAGTCAACTAAACATAGTTTACACGCACCCGTCTTTGAGTGTTTTAGTAGCAGGTAGAGATATACATGTACGTGTATCAGTCAAGAGGGGGAAAGACTCTGCATGTGCAGGATTTCCCTTGTCTCCATCACCTGGCAGGAGGCTTGTGGTGCTCTCCGTCTCTGTCTCTCTCTATCTCTGAATCTGCCTTTCCCTGTGAGCATTGAAGTGAATGCGAATTGGTCTTCTCCAACCAGGAGCAGGTTAGGAAGTCTGTACCATTCTTGTCTCTGCAGAGCTGGGCAGAAGTGCAAGCCACTGGGAGCAGAGATGGCCATGGCTGCTGAGGTCTCTGAAAGGTCACACAGGAAGCTGGTTGGCAGAGCTCACAAATACTACCAGGAAGGGAGAAAGTTATTTTAAGTAAAATGCATCACCATGCTAACAATGATGTTAAAACCTACAGCTTTGAAGTTTGGTCCTTTGAAACAGTCGATTATTATACACTTTGACACAAACTTCTTCTTGGATCATTTCGAAAACGTTTGGCTAGTACACTATTGTAGAAAGGATCCTAAGGTAATAGCCGCCCCCCGTGTGTGTGTGTAATATTCTCTCTCTCTCTCTCTCTCTCTCTCTCTCTCTCTCTCTGTGTGTGTGTGTGTGTAATATATACAGACACTACAGTTTGAAGTTTATAAACACGATGACATGCCCATAGTTTGTTAACTGTATATGGAAAGCACAGATGTTTACACACGAATGCAGCTGGATTGTGTGTGCATCACAACGGGGCTTGAAATTACAGGTGAATAAAGTGTGTTATGTACCTTAGCTTAAACTGGGTCCGTACTAGAACTGTTACTTCCCTCTTTAGGGTTATTTTTAAATGGTGTGTATCTGTGTGTGGGCGTATGTGCGGGTGAATGCAGGTGGTGCCTGCCTGACTCTAGATAGGAGTAATTGGAGCAAGAGTTCCAGGTATTTGTGAGCAGTCCAACATGGCTGATGGGAACAAGACTCAGGCCCCCTAAAGAGCACTAGGCACTCTTACCCTCTGAGCCATTATCTCCCAATTTTAACTTTTGATTTTTTTTATTTAATAATAATAAAAGCAACAGACACTATGTGAATTCAAACTTGAGGACACAGAGAGATGATTTCCCATAGATTTTGAGGTCACTATTTTGAAGAACATGATTAAAGACAATGTAATCAGTCATGTGCTAAACAGTAATTTTAATCTATAAATGTAAATCTCAATGATAACAGGAGTTACTAATTTAGCAATAGCACCCTGCCCAATGAATGTTGCCTATCTTTTTTTGTGGGCTTTTCACGTGGGTGGAGTAGTCTAATGAATGCAAGAGTTGATTCACAAGAAAAGTTTATGTGACTTTTATTAATTTCCTAGGATCTTCACAAAAGAGCAGAATTCAAAATGACCACACCATGATATTTTTATACATTCTAGACAAAGAACATTAAATTTGTGAAGAAATGGCGGAAACAGTCTATATGTGAGAGAGTATTGAATTCTAGGGTTGTTATTAAGAAACAGAGAGATGGTGGCGGATGCGGGGACCATAGTAAGGTGAGGATTATTTTGCAGTTTGTTTTCTCACATTTACAGAATTCTCACTTGCCAGTCTCCAGAGTGTAAGGGCATTTTCTAGCGCTGCTCTGTGAAGTAGGTCTCCCCCCCAAATAATCTTGTCCTGCACAGGAAGGTAGACCAATGGCTCCTTCTGACGTGATTTCAGAATGAAATTAGTCAAGGTGATGATTTGGCTTGTTCTGAGGTGGCTTGTCTTCAACACCTTTTAACATTGTCTACTAGGTTCCTACATGTGTCAGTACTGGGCTCCGTCCACTTGGTGGCTGGGCAGAACACAGGACTGAGAATGGTACCTGCTCCAAAGGGGGACACGCTCTAGAATAAAGAAACACCTCTGGGAAACCGAGGGGAGAATACTGCAGGCTCTCTCCTGGAACCTTGGAGGCCCAGGAGATGCTACAGAGGGGAGATTGGAGAAACAGCGAGTCTGCATACAGACCAAGAACTTGGCACTAAGTGATTTAGGTTTCTATGCACACTGCATGGTATGATGAGTTGAAGGCAAATTTGTTTGGCTTCTCTTAGAATACACAGTACCCAGCAGAAAACGAAGAAGACATAGTCGTGGCTCTCCCTCAGGAGGAGTTATGTTTGTCAAGTGTTTTGTGACTGGGAGGCACAAGTGTGCCCATTCCCTCAATTCCAGACCGTCAGAGGGAGGTTTCACTACCAACTTCAATGTACATCCTAAGGAGGGCTCAGGCTCGGTGATGTGCAGAGGGAAATGAAACAGATAATTAGACTTAACAGGGAAGTGGGAAATATTCTGCTGAGCTTTCTTCACACAATGGAAATGAGTCATTTAAAAATTATGTAGTTTTTGTTACGATAGGTTCAGTTTGTTTCCTTTGAATGCTCTTATTTGCTTTGTTTTCTTTCTCCCTTTATTAGGCTACTAGTTCCATGCAGGGAAGGGGCATTTACTTTGCTCTCTCTGCATCCTCCGAGTCTCCGAAGTCTTAATATGTACACTGAATACTTGTTGATGATATGTTGTTGGATAAAAAAGGGAATGTCAGCTCAGAAATTCGATACTAGCAGGCCATATACATAACGTAATCTATTGCAACAACGACAAGGGAATGCAGCAACTGTTTAATTACAGAGGCGTTTCTGTATCATAGCTAACTTCACGGGGTGTCCTTTATCCTGAGCTTGCTTAGCTCTAAAATCTTACCTTAATTTTTTTCTCATTTGCTAAGTTTTTAAAAAACCTTCAGGGTTGCGACTGTACAGTCCAAGTTTTTGGAAACGCGCTCTCTAACTTTGGGATCCTGGGTGAGGACGGTGTCCTCTGCTGCCCACTTGGTGTGTCACTCTGACGATCTTAGTCTGCAGAATGCCCGCGCTTCCATGTCAGAGCTGTGGGCGTCTGGGTGACATCATCCTTATCCCGAAATGCAGGATCCTGCGCCGCATCGACCTTGGGCTCAAGTTTATGAAGCATCCCTGCTCGCCCAGATAGCCCTGCCTCTCCTAGTGTCTCCTGCGTCCTTGGCCTCAGGACCTCCGGCGGCCACCCGGGGCCACTCGGTGACACCTGACGCACCGCGGGCCAGGGCTCTCCTCCCTCCCTCCCTCTCTGCTCGCCCCGCCCCGGCCGACCCAGTCGCCCGCCTAGGCGTGTCCCTCGCTGCCCGCCGTAGCCCGGCGCTCGGCCGGCCGCCGTTCCCAAGATGGCCGCGGCGCGCACGGCTCCTGCGGCGGGCTAGAGGCGGAGGCGGAGTCGAGTCCCTCCCGCACCCCGTGGCGGCTCCGGGTCTCCCGCACCAGGCTGCAGCTGACGACCCGCGGCGGCCATGCGGGGCTCGGTGCACGGATGAGAGACGCCATCGCCGAACCGGTGCCCCCTCCCGCCCTCGCCGTCACCCCTGCAGCCGCCATGGAGGAGCCGCGGCCGCCGCCGCCGCCGGAACCCGAGCCCGAGCCCGAGCGCTGCTCGGCGGCGAGGTGAGTGCATGGCTGCAGCGGCTGCTCCGAGGGAGCCCGACTGCGCGCAAAGGGGGCGTGGGGTCCTCCGCTGCGTGCCAGGTGGGTGAAGAGCATCCAGAGCTCCGGCGGCGGGAGGGGCGCGGTGCAGCCCCGGAGCCTGTGCTTGGCTTCCGCACGACCCCTGTCCGGGTCACAGAGGCCAAGCTTCAGAGCGACCACCGGCCCTTGCAGCCCTGCTCCCGGGGCCCCTGCTGCAGACTTCCCCCGCTTGCCTCCAGACGTCGCCGCCGCAGCGCGGGCTGGGCTCTGTGATCTGACTGAAGGAAGGTGGTCCCTCTTTTCCTTCTTCCAGGAAAGGAGAGGCGTCTTCCCCCTCCGTTCTTTCGCCCCTTCGCACCCCGCCTCCCAGCCTGCTGTCCCTAGGGAGAAGCTGCACCAAAACTGCAGACAGGGTTACTTGCTAAGGTCTTTTTTACTGTCCTTCAGCGGCAGCCTGATGCTGAGTATTGTGCACGGATAAACTGAGGGTTAACCTGTGAAACTTTGCTACCGCAGTAAACTCCAGGATGGAACTTTGGTGCCCAAAGTATCTCTTGCATTCTCTTCCATAGAAGCTCTCCTAACTACTTATAAAAGTCATTAATTTTTTTCTTGGGGAGATAAACTCACCGTGCCCTGGTTTTGTGTTTACGTGTCCCCTCTCTTCCAGTCCTTTGAATCTCAGGATAAGCTTTGGCTGCCCCCTGTCCCCTATAGTGAAGGTGTCCCCTCTCTTCCAGTCCTTTGAATCTCAGGATAAGCTTTGGCTGCCCCCTGTTCCCTATAGTGAAAACACTCCCACAGCTCCTCCCGGTTAAGGTCTTGCCCTATAATCCCAGGAAGAAGGCAGTTAAATAGCTTGCTTTTTCCTGCTTGAAGAAATAGCAAATTTATAGCTTAGTGAGATCTGGACACAGGAGCCATTCACATCCTTACCTGTCACCACTGGGGTGACTGGGAGGAACTTTTTTTTTTCAAAGCTGTGAAAACCACTACTTTGTTTCTTTTCCTTTCTTTCTTTCTTTCTTTCTTTTTTTTTTTTCGAGACACGGTTTCTCTGTAGCTTTGGAGCTTGTCCTGGAACTAGCTCTTGTAGACCAGGCTGGCCTCAAACTCATAGAGATCCTCCTGCCTCTGCCTCCCGAGTGCTGGGATTAAAGGCGTGCGCCACTACCGCCCGGCCTACTAATTCCAAGATAGTTCTGTGACATCTTAAGGGACAGTTTCTTTAAAGGCTTAGGACAGAGTGGTCTGAGAATTCCTCCAACATTTTTTAGACGTTTTATCAGAAAGTTCATAATTTTCCTAAATGTGTTGAGTTGTTGAGCAATTTGGACTCCTGCACACGTTATTTTTAGAACTAATAAATGTGAGTCCTTAACGCTTCAAGTGTTTTGCCCCTTGCCCATCACTTCTTTTAGTTCATTTAATCTTTACTACAATCTTACGAGTTAATTCTGCTATTCATCGCCTTTACACGGGAGGAAACTGAGGCAAAAGGTAAGCAGTGTATATGAAGATTAACTGCTGGTAATGAACGAAGGTCTGGCTGCATAGTTCGTGCCTTAATTATCGCGAGTGAGAGGGATGATTTCATATCCACAGGCCCGACGTTGTAATTCTGGGTAACTGTACTCTGGGGGGGAAATGGTCTTGAACGTTGTAAGGTAGAGGTGGAAAGGGAGAGGGATAAACAAATGTGCTGTGAAAACGCCACTTTTCTATTGATAAAGCAGCCTTGCTTTCCGGCCAGGATTCTGTCTCTTTGTTATAATAAAAATAGGTCAGGATAATGGGCTCCATCCAACTTTAAGTGAACAGCAGTGTACAGAACAAGAAGATCTTTGAAATATTTTTCTTAGCAACATTGCAGTTAATTTTACAATAGCAAATCTGTAAAGCAGATTCCTTGGTAAAGCTGTTGCTCTGCCTGCCTTTTTGCTGCAGTAATTGACACTGCCTCCTCTTCAATAGGCAGGGGTGACCTCTGGCATGGTTACTGTAGGTCTGTGGTGAGCGATGCTGCAGGGGAGCTGCAGTTGTTTATTTGCGGTCCACGTTCTTCACTATTTACAAGAGGCTCGCTGTGTGCATTCAGAATATGCTCAGCTCCTCCTCCAAAGACAATGGAGACCACTAATATGTTCCTTAGTGTTCCCAGGTTAGCTGGCTTGCTGACAGACCAGAATAAAGCTTCTGGCATTGTTGTTCATCTGCCGTACGTGTGTGTCATTGATCAGGAAGGCTGTATTAGCGCACAGGTCTTTGGTAGGAGTCAGGCCTGTACATGTTGGCCTCCAAAGCTGTATGGCAAGCACACCACTGGCAGATGCCAGCGCCCAGGACGTCTGCTGTGGGTGCGCTTTGCTCCTGACGCGTGAGTTATGCAATGATGGAAGAACACAAAACAGGTTGCCAGCTGACGGTGCTCTGTCATAGCTTTAGTGCTTATTGTCTGATCCTCCTTTTTGGTAAAGAATTCCCAAAGGTGATTCCAGTTGCTCTTAGAGATTAAGCTTTTGAATAAACATTCCTCTTTGTTTTTCAAGCATCTGGGTCAGTTTTAAAAGGATCCTGAAACTGCTTTCGAGAACTATTAGAATTAATTTGAAGCAACTTTTGTGATTTATATTTTATATCTGTGCATTTACAAAACAGAATAAATTTGATAGGAAGTCTGATATAATGTCCCTGCCTGTTGCAACCTTCGCTTTAAAATAGTTATGTTATCTATGGCTCATTGTTCTCATTCACTGGCTGTCTAAGTACATGCCAATAAATATCATTGTACGTCCTTCTAGCCAGTGGCTTTCTCATTTACTCTGAGTAGTGTGACTTTCTCCTAGCTTTATTGGTGATAATAGGATTCACTTCTTAAAAAGCATTTGAGTGTCCTCCCTGCTAGGCAGTCTGATCTTGGTGTCTGTCATCTTGAAGCCCCACCTTGAGCTCATTTGTTTCTGTCTTAACTCGTGATGTCACTTGTTACTAACCTTGTGAAGTGCCAGACTGTTTCTGCATCTGATGTGTCTCGAACCTAAACCACCAGAACAGTAGGTGCCTTTGCAGGGGCAGCTTTAGACAGCAAGGAGCAGCCAACTGGCCACAGTGACTTAGAGCTCCAGCGACGGCAGAAACTGTGTTCTGGCGTAGATATGACTTGGCTGTCCCTGGTTCCTCACTTTGTGAGGTTGCTTTATTTCCTTCTTGTATATCATCCTCTTGGTGCCTTGAAAATCTTGTTCTGAACTCTACTGAAAGATGGGGATACACAGGTTTTGCCTACTTAGTGGCTAGATTGCCTTGACTTCCTGCTGGTTAGTTCCTCATTCCTCACAGGCTATCTGTTCGGAGCATTCTCCTGTCTCCGGCTTCCCATTAGACCAGGGGCAATGGAATCTGCTAAAGGACTATGTAATGATGTAATGCTGTTGACGAGTCTACAGGCTACTGGAAATACTTTTATTGGGGAAAATGGAAGCAATGTTAGGCCAGGAGATTGGCTGACGATTCTAGGTCTTCCTAAGGTAGTGCCATATTGGCAATGAGCAAGTCCACCTGCTTGTGGGGCTCGTGTTTCAAGGTAACTATGGCCTATAGAAAACCCCAGAACACACACACACGCATGCACATACATATATATCTATGTGTGTATATGTATGGGCGTGTGTGTACATATACATATATAAGTATATATTCATACACACACACACACACACACACACACACACACACACACACACATATGGGGTCCTTGATTTCAAAGGACCCCATAATTAACGTCAGCAGGCCTGTCTTGGGCACAGCCATTGCCGCCAGTCTGAGAGACAAAGGTCTTTCTCTTAGGTATTCCTCTTTTTTGACATGGCATGGGTTACTTTCTCCACCCTGCGTCACAGCTTTCCCTCGATTGGGTTACATAGTTAGTTTTTAATCTTTAGTCGGCGTTTGGTACCTTCCTAGCTGCTTTTCGAGTATTCTGTTCGTGAAGGATCATGATGCTATGCGGTTTTTCTGGATCTCAGTCCACATTTAAAAAGTTAATTAGAATTTTGTAGCTATTAAAAGCCATGTTGTTAAAGAACATGTAGTGACATGGGAAATGCTCACAGAGCAAGTCTTTTTGGTAGGTCCTGACTACCTATTTTTAGAAAGATTCCCAAATGCCTCTACTGTCTGATGTGCCCTCCTTTGAGCCCGGCGTAGGAAGCAGTCACCACCAGGATCTGTAATGCACAGTTCTGAGTGGTTTGCTGCTCAGCTGCCAGCTCTCCAGCTGTCTGCCTCCTGCCCCCACCTGAAAGTACCTCTCTCTCCACTGCACTGGGCACCGCCCCCTGCAGCAGCACCGCCCCCTTTTTGAGCTCTGCTTGCAGGAATTGACTCCGTACCAAACTGTGGCCTCAGGCTTACTTTCTAAGGCTTGTCACTTCAGAGCTGGGGAGAGGAAACTCCCGTTTGATAATTGGAATGCATCATATAAAGTTGAGTGGAGAACTAACTCTCAAAAGCTGTGGCCAGCCTCAGAGAGGTTTGCTCTCACACTAGGATAAAGGTGGAGACTGGAAAGTCTTTGACTAGTTAGTTTCCTGTATGCCCAGTCAGTCCTCCCTTTGCTCTTCATTTGACCTGTAAACTAGTAAGTTCTCTCTTTCCTTCCTTCCTTCCTCCTATCTGGTTTATGTGTTCATGTGTGTATGCATGTGAATGCATGCACCTGTGTGTATGCATGGCAGCTAGAGGTCAGTGTTGAGTATCTTTGATTGCTTTCTGTTGTAGATTTTCTCAGTTTCTCATAGAACTTGAAATTCTCCATTTCAGCTCCATTGTCTGGCTAATGAGTTTCTTGTATCTTCCTGCCCACCCCCCAAGCCCTGGGGTTAGAGCTGTCAATCATGCCTGGCCTTTATGTGGGTGCTAGGGATCTGAACACAGCTCCTTATGCTTGCATAGAAACTCTCTCCTCACTGAAACATCCT